CATAGCTCAAACTACAGGCATGTGCCACCATGCTGGGATAATTTTTATATTTTTTGTAGATGCAGGGTTTCACCATGTTGTCCAGGCTGGTCTTGAATGCCTGGGCTCAAGTGATTAGCCCACCTGGGCCTCCCAAAGTGTTGGGATGATAGACATAAGCCTACTGTACCTGGCCCAGTTTATTTGTTAAAGTATTACTTGACAAAACTAGAGGGACAGTACGATCAGGGCTGCCAGAGGTTGGGAAGAGGGAGGGATGAACAGGCAGAGTAGAGAATTTTTAGGGCAGTGAACTCTGTACAACACTGTCACAGTGGACACATGTCATCACACATCTATCCAAACCCTAGAACATACATTAAGAGTGAACCTGTGGACTTGAGTTAGTAATAATGTATGAGTACCAGCTCATCAACTGTGACACAGGCAGCACACTAATGAGAGATGGCAGTAAACAGCAGAAACTGAGCAGGGGACTGTGAAAACTCTACTTTCTTCAGTTTTTCTGTAAATCTAAAAGTGTTCCAAAAAATTAGGTCTCTCAGAAGCGAAACAACTACTACTAAAAATAGTACTAACCACCAAATACGTGTTGAAAGAAGGAAAGCTCGGGCAGGATGCCCACTCATCATGTTATAAACACGCCTTGAACCTCCAATGTGTGATGCCAAGATGTGCCCTGGACACTCGGGATGCTAAACGGGGGAAGGCACTGGAGAGGCTGGGCCGGCTGGAGCATTGAGATCACAGGCACGACGGCCTGGGTGAGTTGCCGGCCACAGACACCACCACACTCTCCTATACCCACCCTTACTGGCTTCGCTGATCCTGATTCTGTTTGGTTTCTTTTTAAGCTGTTTCCCGCTACCTTGTGCTACACCAACCAGAAACCAGAAGCTACACAAACCATGTTCAGCAGAGAGGCGTTTGTGACAGGGACCCACATACTTGCCATGTCACTGCAAGAGCTGAGATAGGGAGCTGGGCTGGGGGCCAGATTGCATGAATGAGCCCAAGGGCTTCAGGACCAATCTGCTCCGGAACTGCTCAATCTGAGGCTCCTACCTTGTCCCCACAACCCTGCCACGACACCCACAAAGCAGGGATGTAGAGTCCAGCCACTGCCTCAGTAACAACCACCCACTGATGCCCAGGAAACCTGAGAACGGACACCACATCCACACTTTGAGAAACCTCCTTTCCCACAGTCACTGCCAAAAGAACCCAAAGGGTCTGCAAACCCTCCCCACATCCACTGGTTTCTCCCCTTCTCCACAGTCACCGCCAAAAGAAACCATACCGCTTCCACACTAGGAGAAACCTCCCCTTCTCCACGATCACTGCCAAAAGAAACCAAAGGGCCTGCAAATCCTCTCAACATCCATCAGTTTCCACCTTCCAAATGTCAAGTTCATATACCTAACAAGAATGCCCAGGACAGCCTGCACACAGAAGAAATGTCCCATTCCCAATGCATGAGCTCCTCTGTGTGAATCACTGGGCTACAGCACTGGAGAAAGTGGCATATGGAACAGACACTTCTACTGGGAAATACACTAAGAAGTCAAAGAATAAACAGAAAAGGGTTTCCGAGGATGGAGAGAAGGAGGACTTACCATATGCCACCACTTCCTCAACAACTGACGTGTGATCTCACTGGAGACTTATGATTCGCTTAAAAATATTCACACGGTTCCATTTCACAAATGAGAAAACTGAACCCATGCTGTGATTCAACCTCACAATTGTTAGACTGCAAGTCCACACGGCTTCTACTCCGAGAGGCAAACCCACCAGACACAAGCCCCTCTCCACCACCATGATCCTGGCAGACATGACTAATCAATCACGGCACACTCTTTCACTGAATGTGGTGGCTCAGGCCTCAGCATCTTTCTCAATCCAACACTCAAGCGGCATTGCCAAATAATCAACCACTATAAAACAAACTTTTCTGACACCCACACCCACCCATCAAACCACACAACAGTGAACCCGCTGAATTTTGAGAATGTGAATTTTTAGTCAATTCATGAACATGTGAGCTTTTCTGGAATGCCCTGTAGCTCTGGAATAGAAGTAGAAAAACTACACACTGGGAATGGATAACATAACCAAGATTGAAGGAGAAGGGAAAATACATGATTTAGGGATACCTAAGGTGTTAATAAGAAGACTCACCGGGCTAACCAAAGTGGGAAAAAGAGTGAATAAGGTGGCTGTGAAGGACGCTTTGTTCAGGAAGCAAATTCAGGAAACATGGAGGCAAGCCTGACCTAATTAAGAATTCAGGAACTCATAGACATGAGTGATAGAGGAGTCAGGTTAAAAAAAAAAAATAGGCTGATTTAGGCAGAAGGATTCTAATTTCAACATTCTTTCTCCAGTGGTCACTCACAGGCATCTGAACTGATCTTCCCTTACAATGTATAGAGCTAACAGACCCACTAAGGGAAGAAAAACTCATGTGCCATTTTCAGCTTGTCAGTGTAAGTACCTGTAAAAAACACATACTAATTTATTTGGTGAAAACTATAAAAAACACACCTCCAGGTGGTTAAAAGAGTAATTTTTTTAAGTTGATATGATTTACTTAAATCTGCGAGTCTCAGAAGAGTAAGACACAAGAATTTTTAAAAAGGTCACTTCCATTTATATGTAAACCAGAACTACGGTTACAATGTTATGTGTTTCACAGGGAAACAAGTCAGAAATAGACACAATTAATATTATAAGAAAGGTAGAACCCCATCCAGAACTGTTAGGGTGCTTGCAATATGGGAAAAATTTATTTAAATCTTATATACTAATTATTATTTCTTGTTGGTTACATAACAGTTTTATGAAAGCTTACCCCTCTTCAATAGATCTTTTACTCACCTCTTTCTGACGATCTACAAACCGAATTCTCCTGTAGTCTTTATCATCATAAACCTGGAAAAAAACAAAAAGGCCATGTGTGACTTTTATAGCCTAATTCTGAAAGAAGTCACTTCATATCAATCATAAATATTACAGGAAAGTGTTCTTCTTAACTTTTAGGCCATTGATGAAAAATCAAACAAGTGAGGGGCACAGTACTCGGTGTAATCAGAGGCATTTTTAGCAAGATACCTGGGATGAAAACGGGTGATCACCTGAATCAGAGAGCAGCATAGAGACATAGCCCGGGAAGGTGGAGCTAAGGCGGAGGGACAAATCCTGACCGAGGAGAACCGCCTCCAACCTTCTTTCGCATATGGTCAGAGCTCCAACCTTCTTTCGCATATGGTCAGAGCTTTAACATCCCCCCCTTAAATCTACTAGGAAACATTCCAATACACACAGGGACCTTTGTTCTTCATTTTGGATTACGACTTTTTTGTGCTTTGGACTACAACCGACTTCTCAGGTTACTAAAATTTATTATTTAATATTACACAAATTCTAAACGTTCTGGCCTAAAGAATCGGCGGCCACAGATCGCCTATGGGCAGCCAGTCCACAGCAAGTGCTGCCCGCTTGGGAGACCTCCCGTTCCAGAGCCCGTAGGCCCTGGGAGGACGAGACCCACCGCTACAGGCTGCCGCCACCGTCCCGACCCGTGGCCGTCCTCCCCGGCGCGTAAGCGACAGAAGCACAACCTTACCACGACCTGCGCTGCTGGCGGCGCAGAACCAGAGCCGCGGATGCCCGGCGAGCCCACCGCCACCAGCCGCCTGAGGAGCGGCCGGAGGAAGGGGCATCCTGTACTCAGCGGCCGTTACCTGGCCAGTGTGTGTGATCTTCTCCCCGGTCGGCGAGACCCGAACCCCGAAACACCTGGCGCCCAGGGGCCGGCTCCGCGCCGCCTTGCCGCACCGGCTCAGCAGCCGGTAGAAGGTCATCGACGCCGCCATTTTGAGCGGCTGACCTTTGACCTGGCGCAACTTCCCTCAGCGCAGACGCATGCGCACGGCTTCTGGCAGCGCCAAACTTATTTCGCCCTGGGGAGCGCGCGGGCAGAGGCAGAGCGTGCGCAGGCGCTGCCCCGTTGCGCCAGCAGGTGCAGCCTCACGCAGTTGCAGCCGCAGGCTGGAGCTAGGGCCCTGATGAGGCAGGCAATGGTGTGCGCAATCTTCAGCGCTTAGGAGTACCCAGTGGTTCTTATTTAGGGGACAGGCAGGGGAGGATGTAAACTGAAAATACATTGTTTATATTCTTATGGTAACCGATAATCATGAGACGTTTAAATATCAAAATATATATATATATATATGTTGGGTGAAGGAGTCGACTGCTTAGCCGAAGAGACTGGAAGTGCATTCTCCTCAAGGCAAGCGTTCCTGAGTGTGGTTACGGGGAACCGCGGAGGAAAAGTATATTTGGGGGATTTCTGCCACAGAGCCTAGGACACCAACTGATTTTACAGCATGCAAATACAGCCTCTAAAAAGGCCCATTTTGCTTAGAGCTGACTTGGTATAAATCCCAGCTTAACGCTCCAGCATCCAGCTTTTATTTGCTGTGGTCAGAGCCTGAGGACCAGGTGACTCGAAGAACAGAACAGTAGAGATGGATGAGTCGCCGGTGAAAGGCTGAAGAGGGGGAAAGGCGATGAGAAACAAGAATGCACGTAAAAACCTCCTGAAAATGGAAAGATGTCCCAGCAAACGTGGTGGTCAGAGGGAGATTTGTTCTGAAGCTGATAAACTCCAGCGCCCTGGCCGGTGTTTGCCGGGTCAGGTGCGAAAAGCGGGAGCTGGGATGAAGCGTTGGGGCCTGCAGGGAGCGCGGGGTGGATGCAGCCACGTTTGCAGCTCACCTGGACACACAAAGGAAGGCGGATGGAGTCACGGGTAGATACCTGAAAAGGCAGGGATAAGCGAGCTAAGTGTAGAATCTAGGTGGCAAGTATATGGGTGTTCACAGTAAAATTCTTTCCTTTTTTCTGTATGTCTGAAATTTCTCATAATGTTGGGAAAAATAGCCGTAACCAGCTGCAACTCCTGCCCGTCTCCACTCGTTTCCCGGAACTTGTTTACATTTCTCCTGTCCACTTAAAAACATGTCCTCCTCCTCAGTTTGTTTTGACATTGGCATTTGGCAGTTTTTTCTAAGGTCTAATTGGTTGTAATTTCTTTTTCGTTCCGGATATCCATTTTCGTTCCTGGTTTTGCATTTTTTTTCCCGAGAGCGGTCCAGTCCCACAAGGCGGCGATCCCGGTGGCCCGCAGGTAGCGCGCAGTCGGGGAGTGATGCGTCGGACTCCAGCGCGTGCGCACTCGCGGCTGCGTCTCTGCGCCCTGCGCTGGATGTGGACACGCCACGTGACCCCACTGCCGCCATCTTTCTTCCTGGCAGCGGCGTCGGCACGCCAGTGCGCAGACGCGGGGAACGGCGCTAGGTGAGAGCGTGCGGCCAGGTACGGGTGCCGTCTTCTCTGGTCAGTGGTCCTGGGTGTCCTGAGGGTTGGGGCTGCGAAAGTGTGGGGCCGGCCACCTTGAAACCCTCGGGCCTGTCTCTCCTAGTGGGCCGCGGTCAGAGGAGCGTAGCCCGGGGCCTGGCGGTCTCGGAGGGCCAGGGTGGGGGGCGCGGGTCCGACCATGGGCCCCCGACAGGGCCGACGGGAGGGGGTGCCCAGCGAACCCAGGGCGGGGGACCCGGCGGCTCCTGAACGCGACGCCACAGCCAGCGCGCAGGGCCGGCCCCGGTGCCGCGGTGTCCTCCGGGCCCTGCAGACCCAGCTCCTCCCAGCCGGGGCCACTGAACCCTAGGGGCTGGGGCGCATGGGGAAGCAGGGGCGGGCGGCCGGCTGCCAGAGCTCCATGCCCTTCCACGGCCGGGGCTAAGGGGTCGCTGTCCCTGGGGTTTGTCCCGAAACTGGCCCGAAGGAGGGCCCCTGGGACTGGGGAAAGTTGGAGGGAGGAGCTCATCAGTTGAACCGCCCTTGACCTGGTGTAACTGTTTGGAAAGGGATGAGGCCTAAGTTTAAGCTCCCTCCAAGCCAAGTGAGCCGCTCCTCAACATCGCGGGGCTTTACACACTCGCCTACACTTGCAGCAAGCGGGAAGGGAAGGAAGCCACCGTCCACTGCCCCTTATTCTCCTGGCACACTTGGCTGATTAAGGCAGTGTTGAAGCTCAGGTCAAGGCTGCAGCTGGTACTGGAATGCCCTCCGACCCCAAAGTCCCTCTCTTCCCAAGCCTCAGTGAAATAGGGAAAAGGAAGTCTTAAAGAGCAGGTGGAATCGCAGGAGAAGCTATAACACCTTTTATTCTCTCTCCCATAGATTCGCCACAACATGGCAAATCTTTTTATAAGGAAGATGGTGAACCCTCTGCTACATCTTAGTCGTGACACAGTGAAGCCTCGAGTCCTCTCCACATTTCTGATGGGATCCCTTCGAGGTGCAGCCCCCATGGCTGTGAAAGCCGGGGCAGAAGTACGCTCACTTCTCTCACCCGGCCTCCTGCCCCGCCTGCTGCCCGCACTGGGTTTCAAATGCAAGGTGGTTCTTAAGAAGCGCTGCAGGGACTGTTACCTGGTGAAGAGGCGGGGCCGGTGGTACGTCTATTGTAAAACCAACCCGAGGCACAAGCAGAGACAGATGTAGACCCTTTCCCTCCAGAGTCACGCGCATACTCATCATTGCGTCACTTGGGAGAACGGTTGTATTTCATGGAAGGAATTATCACATCAAGGAATCGGGGGAGAGTGACTGGAAGCAAACGTCCTAAAAGTTACCCAGCACTTTTCAGTGTAAATGAGTAACTATAGAAGACGTAGCATCATCTTATTTCTAAAACGTTCCAATTAAAAACATTTGCCTATTAAAATAGACCGTCTGAATAGCTTAGTTCATTCATCCTCCCTGAACTCTGGATGCAGGTAGGGATTGGATGGCGCTGGGTGAGGCCAGGCAGGACTTCTCTGTCCCCGTGAGGCTGCTTAGAGCCTCTTGGAAGAAATGGTCAGTGTTTTGGTTGCCCGTTGCTGTACAAGCCAAGGCTTAGTGGCTTCAATCAGCCATTTTACATTGCTCACAATTTTGTGGGGCGTTGGGGATGGGCTCAGCTGAGAATTTTGTCTGTTATATGTGGCATTAACTGCAGGACCCACTTAAGATGGCACCGGCACTCCTCTCTGGGTCTCAGTGCTCCTCAGACTGCACGTGGCACTTCTTCGGTGTGGCTTGCGCTGCCCAGAGTGAGCTTCCTGAGAGTGTCCTGAGAGAGCCAAGCAGACGCTACGAGGCTTCCTGTGACCCAGCCTCAGAAATCCCAGCGTGTCATTTCTGCTGCGCTTTTGCAGTTCAGCAAGTCCCTAGGGTGAGCCCAGGTTCGGGGGGAGGCCAGGAGCTCCCCTTGCTAGAGGGTGGCCACACCTACAACTGGCAAGGACTTGGTGGGATGGAGTGGACTGGTCCTGCCCTGGACACCGGGATTCAGAGTTGAGTGAGCCCCATGCCTTGGGGGAGTGCTGTCGTCAACATGAATTTGGGGGTTAAGGAGCACAGTCCAACCCAGAGCAGATGCTGAGATGTGGGGACGGCCTTCTCACGGCTCCTTTCCTCCTGGTCAGGGACACCTCCCCTTCTCCCAGAAAGCAGTTTCTTGAGACAGGAGACCATGCAAGAAGCCTAGCCCTGGGGGAGCGCCCTCCCACCCACAGCAGCAGCAGGGGCACAGCAAGGTCACCCAGAAAGGCCTGGTGGGGCAGCAGAGGGGGCACCATGGCCGCATCAGGGTCAAAGCTTAGCCCCAGCACACCCATCACTTCTCGAAGGGGAACAGACGCCGGTGTGGGTTGCTGTGAACTCTGTGCTGTGCCCATTGACCCTACGAAGGGCCTCTGCGAGCAGCTTGACGTGGGTGTTGCGGCCCGCAGGTGTCTGGCCAGTTGAAGAAGGTGGAGGGCATTATTACTTGAAAGACAAGGGAACCAGCTGTGCGAAGAGCCTGCTTATGTTGTGCAGGGAAAGGGAAGCCCTTTCTCAAGCTGTTCTTAAGTGAGGAGTTGATGCAGTCTCTAGAGTGTGTGTCACGGAGGACCCTGAAAATGTCAGAAGCCAGAGCCCACTAGGAGACCTCCCACTAGGAGACCTGTCATGCACTGGGACTGAGAATAGTTCAGCAAGAGAGAGGACTTTCCTCAAGCGTGTGTGTGTGCGTGCACGTGTGTATGTGTGTATGTGGTGTGTGTGTGTGCATGCATGAGTGTGTCCACATATATATGCGCGTGTCTGCAAACACCTCCTGAACAGTCGGTGCGGGAGGGTGTGATGAGTCAGCGGAGCCGCTGTTGTGACCCTCAGTGGACTGTGACTTTCAGCCAGTGTGTGCCTTCCATGTTTCTGATCTCTCACGGGGTGGGTGATGTGGTTTGAGAACCACAGGGTCCTGACAGCCCCCAGCATGGCTTGCTGATGCTTCCCGAGCTCCCTTAGCCTGGGCCCTGGGATGAGGAGGAGAAGAGGTGCTGCTACCCTCACACCCTTCCTGCACAGCAGCGTGTAAAACGGAGGCTGGCGAGTGTGCGTGAGGCGTGCCAGGCCCTCCAAGGCAGAGGTCCAGGATGTTCCCTGCAGGGGATGATGGCCACGCTGAAACTTTTGGTTGCAGGGGAGGCAACGCGAGGAGGGGCCTGAGGCTGGGCACGGGCAAGAGGCATCCAAGCCATCCTGCGTGGGCGAAAACTGGGTGTTTCTGCAGCACACGGTGCTCTGGGGGGACACCTGACCTCCGGCTGCATGCCTACAGTTGGGTGTGATGTGCTTACGTGCCATGGAAACGTGGGCATACACAGTCGCAGCCTCTTGATGATTGCACAGACGCATACCCAGCAAGGCAGCATGGCATAGGAGCCAACAGGAAGGAATAATGGCACAGGAGCCAACAGGAAGGAATAAAGAAGGCATGGATTTCACGGCACGCTTGATCCAACGGGGAAAGGTGGGATTCTGCTAATTTTGCTTGAGTAGAAATCTAAGGCTGATAATTACCTATCCAGGCTTCAGTCCAGAACAAGTTACTTAAAAAAGAGTGCTGCAGAACCAGGCCAGGGATCCTGGACATCAGTGCTGTGGACATCTGGGGCTAGGTCGTGCTCTGGGCCCATCCTGGGCACTACCGGGTGTTCAGCATCCCTGGGCTCCACCACAAGATGTCGGGAGCACCCCACACACAAGCAGGGCCAACCAAAAGTGCCCCAGACACTGCAAAGCACTCCCTGGGGGGTAATACGTTTCCCCAACAATGAACCAGGGTTGCTGTCGCCTGTCCTAACTGGGCACACCTCATGACGAGGGCTGGGATGCAGGTGCACCACTGGGAGGTGATCTCAGAAGTCAAGATGGGGAGTAGGGACATGAATCAGGGAGGGAGAGGAGCTTCCAGGGCACAGAATGAGAGGGGCACCAGGTGCCACCCTGCTGTGTCCCCTGAGCTCTGGCGGAATGTGCCTTGGTGTCCCACGGGGGATGAGAACCGGGGGGCGTTTATCCACAGATGCTCATCACTCTTGGTTGAGGGTCACCATGTGGGGACTTAAATCCCAGACACTTCCAAACCACCTGAAGGTGGGCTGAGCAGATCCTCATGGGCACAGAGAAGGGCGGCTGCAGAGAGAGGAGGGGTGGCCACGTGGGCCAGCAGGGTCATCCTGTCAGGAGCTGTCCCTGCACTCGCATGACCTACAGGTGGCCCGGGGTCCCACCAGATGCCAGCCCTGTCTCGCCAGCGTCCTCCCTGTCTCCTGAAGGTGTGGTGCCAATGAACTGATGGATGGATTGAAAATACTGTGAGAAATTAGAAGTGCTATTCAGGTGTATGTTATTAGGTTACTCTCTTGAGGGACTTTTAGAGTAGGATCAACTGGGGACAGCAGTGCAAGCGAAGGAAAAGTAAATGACACCCAATGGAGAGAAGAGCATAGGAGCTGTCTCTGCATTTCCAGAAGGAGGTGGACACGGTCATGTCTGTATCTGCCTAGGTGGCTATTCACCGACCAGGTCTAACTGACAGACCACCCACCTGGCAGCGTCGCCCTCATTCACCTAGGAGGGTGGGAGGCGAGACTGGTGCTCCCGGGGTCCAGGTCTCCTTCCTCTGCCAGACCGGTGGGGGCTGGGGCTTCCCTGCCTCCCTGCGAGTGGGCGCGTCTGTGAGACCTGCTGTGGCCTATGAGGCTGGCTGAGGGTCGCCGAGCAGAGGTGATGTGCTGCTTTGCGGCGGAAGCAGTCACCACGCGGTGCATTCGTTCTTCCCCCAGCGATGGCAGAGGTGGTCGGGAGATGGAAGAGCCGAAGGATTCAGGCAGGAATCCAGCGCGACGGCCAGTCGGTCCCCTGGTGGACTTGGTGTGAGCGGGCCACACCTGTGTGTGTTGATGCGCTCGAGCCTGGTGTTTGCCGCTGCGGCGTGAAGCCGTGTGACTGAGGCCAGAGGGATGCGGAGAAAGCAATGAGGGCTGGGGCGATCCCCGGGTCTGAGTGTTGATCCCGTGCATTCCTCAGTGTCCAGCCTCCGGCAAGAAGCTTCCATGGAAGCCTCGCAGTTAAAAGGGGGCAGGCGCGACCCAGCCCTCCCACAGGGTTCTGGGAACCCAGAGAGCTGGATGCTGTGGTCTCAATGTTTGTGTCACCGAAAACTCCTGTGTTGAAGCCTAATCCCCCGTGGGAGTGCTTTGGAATGGGGCCTTCGGGAGGTGACTCTGTCCTGCGCCAGGGCCTTGTGATGGGGTTTGGGCCTGAGAAAAGGGAGTCCGGAGAGCCAGGTCGCCCGTCCACCGTGTGGGGAGGAGCCCTGTCTGAGCCACGAAGCCCCACCAGACGCAGAAGCTGCCAGTGCCTTGATGCTGAACTTCAGCCTCCAGAGCTGTGAGAAACAAGTTTCCTGTCTGTAAGTCAGGCCATCGGAATTTTTGTTATTGTAGCCTGAAGAGGTGAGCATGCTGCGTGGAGGCAGAGCCTGCTTCCCAGCCGTGTTTGCATCTGCAGCATCTCCCACCAGCCCGGCCTGCAGCAGGCACTCAGCAAGCAAAGGCAGACCTGCACCTGCGTGCCTGCTCCCCAGCGGAGGCCCGTCTCCTCCTTGCTCACCCCTTTTAAGGCCAAGCCCACATTTTGCTCTGTGGACTTGGCTGAACGGCCCTGCCCAAGAGAACCCTGAGCACCTCTGGCACTGGAGTGTGGGACAAGTTTCACCCTGGATTTTTCTAGAAATGTACGTTCAGCAAAGGGCAGATGCGAAATCAGTGGTCACACAGGCTCCTGGTAACCACGCAGCCCTGCGACAAATGGTAACCATGCAGCCTTAGGGCAAATGGCGTGGCTCACTGCAAGCCCTCTCGAAACTCATGCCAAGACATATTTCTTTCTTTTTTTTTTTTTTTTTTTGAGACGGAGTCTTGCTCTGTCGCCCAGGCTGGAGTGCAGTGGCCGGATCTCAGCTCACGGCAAGCTCTCCCTCCTGGGTTTATGCCATTCTCCTGCCTCAGCCTCCTGAGTAGCTGGGACTACAGGCGCCCGCCACCTCACCCGGCTAGTTTTTTTTTATTTTTTAGTAGAGACGGGGTTTCACCGTGTTAGCCAGGATGGTCTCGCTCTCCTGACCTCGTGATCCACCCGTCTTGGCCTCCCAAAGTGCTGGGATTACAGACTTAAGCCACCGCGTTTGGCCCTGTTACTCGTTTTTAAAAATCAAAAAGTATAACTAGGCCAGGCACAGTGGCTCATGCCTGTAATCCCAGCACTTCAGGAGGCCGAGGCGGGGGGTTCACTTGAGGTTAGCCTAGCCAACATGGTGAAACCCTGTCTCTACTAAAAATAAAAATAAATAAAGATAAAAAT